AAATAAAATAAAATAAGAATAAAATAAAATAAAATAAGAAAGTTGGTTATATGGGATACCGTACATGCGTTCATACAGCCAAATAAAATAACAAATAAAATAAGAAGTCTTTATCTTTTAACTTCTTGTTTTATTTTATGTGAAAACGGCTTTGCGCACGCTTAATTCTAACCTACAAATATTTTCAGTTTGGATTTAATTTATTTTATAATTTCACATAAGTAAAATGTATAATATAGTAGGCAACGAATAAATAAATATACTATAAAGAGTAAAATTACTATAAACAATCGTAAAAGTTAACTTTTATCCAGCCTCATCGTACTGCGCATGAGCAAATATATATTTCTTATTTTATTTTATTTGACTGTATGAACGCACACAAATAAGAATTCCTTATTTCTTATTTTATTTTATTCTTATTTTATTTTATTTGGCTGTATGAACCCACCATAACTCCTACGTAATACCGAATAAAGAAGAAAACGAACAGGAAATTAACCAAAAACATCTTTAAATGTTTTAAAACATCTTTAAATGTTTTTGGTTTCGTTCTTTTTAATGTTTTAATGTTTTGTAATTTTGATTCTTGGGCCTGACCCGTTCCTCCATCAGCTCTTCTAGGTCTGTGTCTGTATCCGAAAATTCGGACGCCTCAGATCCTTCGGAACATTCAAAATCGCTCATTTCTTTTCTTTATTTTTTGAAGAAAAAGACACTAAACAAAAACAACACACGTTTTGTAGGTTAAGTTTACCAATTAATGACGTCGGGTCGCAATACGCATGCGCCGGACACTTTACTTGCAAAAGATCCGCGAACAGGTCTGACTGTCAGCTAACAATCAGAATTTCCTGTGCGAACAGCGTACTGTTGGTTGGAAACCAATCAAAAATTTCTGTGCGAACGCGTTTACCCTATTGCGCATGATTATCTCTTGGAAATATGTTTCTTACAGCTGTGAGAACAAACCTCATGTCTCCGTAGTGCAGTGCTTAGAGTTTCTGACCACGAACCGATGACTCAGAGTTCGAATCCGGGTCAGGGCAAAGACTTTTTTATTTTATTTTCGTTTATATTCTGATAGTAAAGTATTAAATATTTGTTTTTTTTTTAATTACCAGAATTATTTAATACTTTACTATCAGAATATAAACGAAAATTAAATAAAAAAGTCTTTCACCTGACCCGGATTCGAACTCTGAATTATCGGTTCGTGGTCGGAAACTCTACGCACTGCGCTATGGAGACATGTTCGATTTATATTCAATACTAGAATTTATAGGACTAAATTAATAAAAAATATAGGATCTTCTTCCGATGCGCAGTAGTAAACGCAACGGGTATCGGCAGCCAGACGGGCCGCATGCTGTTCCAAAGAGATTTAAAATACTTTCTCGAAAACGTTGCTAGCTCTTAGACTATAAAGGAATATGGACCAGCATTAACAATATTCAATGAACACAAACCTTAATAACATGAAATTTTTTGCATTTGGATTACACTAATTGACATTTATTTATTATATGTAAAGCACTGCATTCTTGCCTTACTATTTAAATGCGAAAAGAAACAAATCAAAAGCAATCTTCGTTCATATCTAGAGGTTATTTGTTAATATAGAGTGTTCTATAGATAATGTAAATCAGATTATGTTGTAATAACTTTATGACTAACTTCTTCCACTCCTTGACTTAAGTAATTCTTTACTGCTGTGTGTTTCAGGCTGTTAACAGATAATTTATTTAATCTATTACTATTATAAAATAATAATAGTGTAAAACATGTGCCAAAATATACAATGAATTTTGTTAAAACATCGATTAATTTTCTGTTAAAGATGAGACAATGCGCATTTATTTTATACGAATAATAAACGAAAGATATATTTTTGATACAACGTAAGTTCTGGAACTTGTAGGTTCTAGAATAAATTTAGGTTCCTTATTATTGTATTATGTATAAGTTACTTTTTGTAAATATAATTCGGATTTATCTTTCTGTAAAATTGTCAGTACTGACTTATTATTTATGACGCAATTATTTCTTCCAGTATTAAAATCGTTAAAATAAAACTGACGTTTTGTTGCGTAATTAATTTATTTTTTTTTCTTTAAGGCTGAGTTTATGTCTGCATCTTAATTCGTAGCATTTAAGTGTTGTTTAATTCGTTAAGTGTTGTAAATGTGGCGTAGTGAACAAGATTTTCTTTAATAAACTATTTTTTAGTAAAACCTTTTTTCTGTTTTATTTATGTTATGGTGGGTTCATACTTCGAGTATTAGTCCTACATCCTTACCCTTAAAGGATGATTCACGGTACACCGGACCGTACCCGAGCCGGGCACGTTCCGTAAAGTAGACACCGAGCCACGTCCGGGCCTTCAATATATGCAACCACGAGTGGACAACGGGGATCATGTCCGTGCTGATTATATTCTAGAAAACAGTGTTGCCGCACTGGTACATTTGTACCAAATTTGATACTTTTAATTCTATTTGGTACAGTGGTACTACATTTTCAAATCCAGGATGATTCGGTACAATCATTATTTCCCACGCGCACCGAAAATGAATAGATATTTAATAATTATCGTCGTTGATATTGCATTAAACGCGCTTACCGATACCATTCGGAGACAATCCGCATTAATTAACGACGTATTATAAACGTTGTAATGTCTATAGGGTTGCCTATATTAAATAACCCGAAGAAAAAACTTAAAAATTTGCTGTTTCTAACATGCTTCTATATTTGCGTTTTTTTTAATAAAATTTAAGTTTTCCAAGTATCGTGTGTAGTATTAGAATTGCTTACATTTCTTCAACCTATACATACTTATAATTGGGTTTTCTGAATTTCTATTTCATGTTTTTCGTCTCGATTTGTGTCTTTCTCCAGGAAGTTTTTTATGTAGAAATTTATGAAGAAATTCACAACGACCAAACCGGTTAAAGTCATTTGCAGATGTATTTTGTTGTGCTTTAAAAAATTGTACCAAAGTGGTACATTTTTAGTTTATAATGTGGTACGCGCTAAAAGTTGGGTGCGGCAACACTGCTAGGAAACAGTCGCTATAGGCCCGTAGACGAACGAAGTATTTAGCCGCGGCGGCTCATTTATGTTTGCCGCAACGGGGCCGGAACGTAGCGGATCCGAGGAAAAATGTACACCGACATTTCTTCTTCCGGCGAAGCTCGGACCGTGCTCGGCTTGGCATGAATGTATAAGTATAAATAACATTTGACAATGTTTGGCCGTGCCTTCACCGTCGCACGGCTCCGGCCCGTCACGGTGTACCGTGAATCATCCTTAAGAGTCTATTACGCTGTGCTTTCGGATCGCTATCAGGGGTCGGGTAAAGCGGGTGTGTGGCCGAAGGAAATATATACTAGTCGTGTTCGGCATTATGCTCTGAGAAATCTAGATAAAAAAGAACAGATGTAAAGCATCCCAGAGGAAAAGAGAGGAAAAACCTGTTCTCTCTCTGATATTTGTCAAAGTTATGGCAAAGTATTGTTGGAAATGTCATCTTTTTGATCAACCTGAAAACTTCGAGCAAAAAGATAACACTTTCAACAATACCCTGACAGATATCACAGACGATACAGGTTTTTCCTCTCTTTTCCCCTGGAATAATTTATATTTATTGTTCTTGGTTTAACTAGATTTCTCAAAGCACAATGCCGAACTCAGCTATTATATTTCAGAAATCTGCCTAATGCTTAGCCCGATCCTGTCGTGTTGTCACACCCAAAATTCCAAACACACGTGCTTTGATTAAGGCTTGATTACGGTTGGCAGAGCTTCAGCATTTGCCATAAAATAGCGAGCAATTTGTTACAAAACCATATAAATTATATATCACTGTAATCACAAAACTTCAATCTATTTCCGTATTGTAAGGGAATTTTAAATTATGTCTTTATTTTCGAGAAAATTTAGTCCAAATATAAGGAATATTTTGTTGATGTTTGACCATCAAAATCTTAAAAATAAAGAAGTTGTCTAAAAAGTGCTACAATACGGATATAGTATAATCCTTTATCTTCAATTTCCTTCTTCATTTGTGTAAAAATACCTTAGTTCAGTCATTGGGGATTTTTGCTTGGAAAAAAGTCTGGAAGTTTTGCAAATTTGCAAGTTTATAGGTTTTGGGGTCCCTAACTAAAATCCATAAAATGCACATATCCAGACTTGCCGCCGGCGCCGCCATCTTGCCAAGATGGCGCCCAAAATCTAAAATTGTAAAATTTCCAGAGATTTTGTACCTAAACGGTAGACTTTCGCGAAAATTTTCACAGAACCTTTTTTATAGGAAATTTTATTCTCTTTAATTTTTCTCCCTTCAAATTTTTACGAAAAGCATAGTTTTCGAGATATTAACAAAATACCGATTTTGAGCGCCATCTTGGTCTGGCTATGTGCATTTTATGGATTTTAGTTAGGGACCCCAAAACCTATAAACTTGCAAATTTGCAAAACTTCCGGACTTTTTTCCAAGCAAAAATCCCCAATGACTGAACTAAGGTATTTTTACACAAATGAAGAAGGAAATTGAAGATAAAGGATTATACTATATCCGTATTGTAGCACTTTTTAGACAACTTCATAGAACCTTTATTATAGGAAATTTTATTCTCTTTAATTTTTCTCTCTTCAAATTTTTACGAAAAGCATAGTTTTCGAGATATTAACAAAATACCGATTTTGATTGTAGTTAGGGACCCCAAAACCTATAAACCTGCAAAGTTTCAAAAATTCCGGACTTTTTTCCAAGCAGGCCCCTTTTTTGATCCCCAATTACTGAACTACCTAGCCAGTTTTACATAAAACGTTAAAGCCGAACGCTTATGTTGGTACTTTTTCGGACTAGTGAAATGGACTCTTAACATTAACCTTAACCCTAAGATATTAACCTTGAGAACTTAAGGAAACGTCATTCATACTTCTCCTACTTCCTACTTGTCTTACAAATAAATCAAGCAACAATATACGAATTAAATAAATATATATTACAAGTATAGACAATCGTCTTTTAGATAATCTTTGGCTTATTTACAAAACATTTAACAAATATACTTAAACCTAATTTAATTTTAGTCGGGATTGTCTTGGAACATAAGAATGACCAAAGTATAAAAATTCCTAACGGTGATTTACAAATACAAAATATATTAAATTAACAGTCTTAGAAAAATAAATACAACTAATGAAAACCTGGATTAAGTTTTATTTAATTTTACCTGCAGGTTTTGCGGTATTTTTCTCTTCAAATTTCTGTTGCAAAGACGAGACAGTTGAATTGGATTTAGCTGCTTGTTTAACGCCTACCGAAGCCGTTTTACTAGCCCCAACGTCAGAGGCCGCTTTCATCACTTTAGCTGCAACAGGCGGTTTGACTTCGTTCTTTTTTTCAAACGAATTTTTAAAACTAACAGACTTTTGATTATTACTAATTTTCACAGTCGGCTTTTGAGATGTTATTATGGGTTTAGAAGTGACAATAGAGGGTTTCTTAGTTAAACTGCCCCCATTTAACACGTCTGGCCCTTTTGAGCTGCTGTTCGAGTTGCAACTAGTAACTAAGTCGGGACTATTTGTAACAGAACGATTAGATTTTACTGAAGCTTGCGATATGGGTCTGGTCGGTGACGGTTTCCGCCCTTTTAAATTTGGAGGAGTCACTTGCCGATTTATTTTCGACGGCGACTTACTAACAGGGGACGGGGGAGTTTTTGTCGTCGGGGACAGAACAGTTTTTGATTTCGCCGATTTGCTATCACTACTACCTACTTTATTATCTGTGGTTTTATCACTATAAGAATCACTGAGCCGTTTTGAAGTATTGGCCGTAGCCAATGGCCCCGGTGGTCGTTTGAATGTTGAAGAGAAAGGTTTTGTTGATGCATCGGCCTTGAAAGAACTTAATACCGGTTGCGACTCCCTTATTGGAGGTTTGTTATGAACACTTGGAACACTAGGTTCCTTAAGAGGCACATTTACAGCGGATGGTAATATATATCCGCTCGAGGTAGAACTTGCACTCGACTTAATATTACCCATGTTACTATACTCATTTTCGGGTTTGTACACAGTATTTGCATATTCTGAAGAAGTGGGCGACAAATTTTCATTTGCTTTCTTTGCCGCCTCCATTTTCTTTCGATTTAACGTAGACGTCGAATAAATCGACTCAATATTTCTGTTTTGTATTTCACAAACTATTTCACTAAGTAATCCCATACTCTCCGTCGATCCGGCACCGCTTGTAACCTTTTCTGGTGAAGGTGTCTCTTCGATGACCGCATAAATGTTGTCACCGCTAGGACTGTCAGTTTCGCTTAAGCGAGCCAACGGAGCTGCTTCGTTCAGACAGTCATCATATTGATTTTGATTCTCCTTCAACCTTTCAGATGAACTATTGGTGCTATCTGGAGGTCGAGGAGGAGGAGGACTTTTAGGACGTGCCCCCGATGGTATACTAAGAGGTCTTTTGTATCCCGGTTGTCTCATCGAACCAAACGTTTGAATATTTGGTCGGTCTTTCGGTTTAGTTGCCCTCATACTTTGTGCTCTCATCACAACTGCTTTCTTAGCTGCTGCATCAACAGGCATTACCGTGATGCCTATATCTATTTCAGTTTGCGGAACAGGATTTGATATTTCTAGATTTCTCAAAGTTTCTTTGTCCAAAATCTTTTGAGCTTTTACTTGGTTTGATTTAGTAAGCGTATTAAACTGGGAAGCTTGTTTTTTATCGCCAGGTTTAAGAAATGATGCTATCCTGTTTAAGGTGCTGATACCAGTTTCTTTTTCTTTCTCTTTTGGAACACGTTTGGTTAAATCTATATTTACATCTAATACTGTATGAACCTCTAAAGCGTTAGGTGTTGATAAAATATTGGAAGTATTAGGTGTAATTTTAGTCTCTGGAAGAGGAGCTTCAGGTGCCGGCCGAATAGGCATTTTAGGAGCATTACGAAGAGGCGATATCAATTCCTTAGCATTAGATGTCGAACTTGACAATACTGGTGAAGATATAATAGGTCTGGCAGTGCTACCCGGATTAGGAGGTGGTAATGCTGGAACTGTAGATGAAGAGTTAGTACTTTTGATGCCATTAAGCAGCGTATTCTTTTTAAAAGAATTCATTTTCTGAACTGGTACCGTAAAAAGAGTATTTTTAACTTTTCCTACAGCTTTTGGCACTGGTGGAGGTGGTTTTTGATAATTGGGAATAGTTGAATGATTCTGATCAGCTGATCCAATTTGAGCAGCAGCTGAAGGGGCCGGTCTAACAGGCTCGGCGATTTCTTGCTTTTTCATTGGCGTTAGAGAAAATCCTTTGAAATTACCAAAGAATTCGTTATTGAGACCAGCTTGTGGCAGTGAATCTTCATGTAGAAGTGAGTGGTTGTCTTCAGTTCTTTTCGCTGTTTGCGGCGCTCCTCTCGATTTACTTGGGGACTTCGACCTATGCCAACAATGAAAACACATTTTAGAGGTCTCTATTACTAATATACTTTGAAAGAATAAATCATATAACCTAGTTTTAATGTTGACATCGTGCAAGAAAATCAATAACAGAATAGAGCATGAGCATATAATGCCATGAAACACGGGGGTTAAAAGAAAATATTAAAAAGAAATACTTACTTACGTGTTAGGAAAGAAATGCAGGTGAACAAACATGCAGGATTAAAATAACACAGATGAGGATCATTACAGTATATATTTTGCTACAGGAAAGAAAAACACACTTTCAGCTAGTATAAAAAAAATAATTTTTGAAATTAAATTAGTGGTTAAGAAATTTAACTAGATTAATGATTACACAAAGTAACTACATATTACAAAATTCATGCCTTTTAATATGATCTGAAATTAAGTCTAATCTAAAAGCTTAATACCATCCACATATATTGACGTTTAATTATTTTCTGACCTAACTATGCTAATCCAGACAACCACAAAAAAAATAGCAACAAAAAAAAACGATACAATACAAAGCATACAAACATAAAACTAAACAACAAATATATACTAATTATCACATTTTTGAGTTATTCATGTTTTTAATTAAATCTTTTACAGATACAGACTTTTCTGACTTTGAATTATTTTGCTCTTCAACACAATATTTTGAAGTAAGTGAGTGTTGCATCTCACTTCTAACTTTAGCATTTACATTAATATCATTATCAGACTTTACACTCCTAAATGACATTTCCTTCGAAGATTTAAGAGAAATATTAGGCACTGGTGGTGGACTTTTGTTATAGCGAATATTCTTTAGTTGTGTTACATTTGTTTCATTAGTTTGGTTAATATCTAGATTATGATTATGTTTTTTGTACTTCAACTCATCTGTTATAGTGTTACTTCTAACTATACCATCAGTATTAGTAGTAGATATTAAAATAGTCCTGCCAATTTCTATATTACGTTCACTATGAGACACTTGCTCCGACACAGAAGGAACAGTACTAAACACCAAGCCAGACCCTTTAGGCACCGGAAAAACATGCTGAAAAGTTTTTATTACGTACGTTACGGGCGGTGACTTTTTCCAACTGAATTTCATGTTGTATTTGGCATAATACGACAAGAAAGCCAGTATAGCTAGCGTTGGAATTACGCCGAGGAATATGATGAACATTGCAACCACTACTCCTTGATGAGCTAAAAAAATAAAAAAAATCAATTAATACCACTTTTCTGTAGTTTAGGGTTAAATGGATTTCATCTTCAATTCCCCTTATAAATTACATATTATTGGTAAATATAGGGTGGCCCATCGAAAACGTTCCGCAAGGCATAACGGCCAGGGTATTCTTTTTTTCAAAAAATACCAAAACACGTCAATTTTGTTTGTGAGGGGGACAACTTTTGCCCCAAAAATGATTGCGAAATCTTCAACCCTCTGAGCGGGGGTGTCATCCCCCAAATTTTTTCAAATGGGAAAGGGGGGTCAAGTGGTGCCGCAAGGAAAAGAGCTTTCTGTTCTCTATATTTCCCCGCCTCGTTTTTGAAAATCGGTCGAGTCATTGAGGAAATATGAAGGATTGAAATTTGAAAAGTTTATTTAAACATTTATCAGAGTAAATGATAAGGATAAATTCCTTCGACCAATTTGAGTTTTTTTCTTATTATTTCTAGATGTTTACGCATTTTTTCACTTGCCACAAGGTTGAACGATCAGGTGCGATAGTTGCTAGATAGGTAGCTGTTTTATGATTTGTGCGTTGAAGTTCTTCTCAATATCGTTAAACTGACCTACAATAGAATTTCCAAAAATACCAGCCCAGACGTTCAATTTCTGAGGGTTTTATGTGTGCACCTCGTGAAAAACTCTGGGGTTGTCTTCAGCCCAGTACCGACATTTGTGCCGATTAACTACACCGTTCAAAAAGAAAGTACATTCATCCAAAAAACACACATTAAATAGGAAATTATTATCATGCGCCATTCGTTCACTCATAGTTTCACAAAATTGCAAGCGACGATCAAAATCGTCTTCGTTGATTTCCTGTACCAACTGAATTTTGTACGGGTGGAACTTGCGTTTTTTTAATATCCTTTGGACACTTGTACGATTCACGCCGGTCTTATTGGCTAATTTTCTTGTATTCAGCGTACTATCCATGGCAACTTGGCCCAATACGAATACCTCCATAGCTTCATTTACTACAGGATTTTCCCTCTGCCTCTTTTTATTCATAACGGAACCAGTTTCGTGAAATTTTGCTACTAACTCGCGAACAATTTTGCCATAAAGGATGGCGTTCATTGAATATCTGCGCAGCCCGATTGCCACATTCATTATTTTTAAAATAAAGTTCGATTATTTCCACTTTTTCTGCAAGTGAGTATACCATAATAATTGTTAAAAAAATTTAATGATATTGAGAAGAACTTCAACGCATAAGTCACAGAACAGGTATCTATCAATTACCGCACCTGATCGTTCAACCTTGTGGCAAGTGAAAACATGCGTAAACATCTAGAAATAATAAGAAAAACAGCAAATTGGTGGAAGGAATTTATCCTTATCATTTACTATGATAAATGTTTAAATAAACTTTTCAAATTTCAATCCTTCACATTTTCTCAACGACTCGACCGATTTTCAAAAACGAAGCCGGAAAGTATAGAGAATAGAAAGCCCTTTTCATTGCGGTACCACTTCCCATTTGAAAAAAAAATGGGGGAAGACACCCCCGCTTAGAGGGTTGAAGATTTTGCGATCATTCTTAGGGCAAAAGTTGTCCCCCTCACAAACAAAATTGACGTTTTTGAATTTTCTGAAAAAAAATTACCCTGGCCGTTATGCCTTGCGGAACGTTTTTGATGGGCCACCCTGTATATTAGTATAATAAACTGTACCATTAGGATCTGAAGCTGGACCACTATCTTCCGAACCTCCAGGTCCGGGATATTCACAGAAAGGTGGGGCAAATCCATCTTTACAATGGCAGTGTCCTTTATTGTTGCACCAACCGTTTCCATGACAGTCGTTTTCGCAACTTGGCGATAACTTTCTTAAACTTAAGACATCTCTACATCTTTGGTTTACACACATCTACAAATTAATTTTAAAAAGTTATCAAACCATTTTCATATTATACAGAGTGATTCGATGAAGTTCGCGGAGCTTACACAAATATTAATCCATATAATAGAAGTTAAATTAAAATGGTAAAATTGTGCACACCCGAAAATATACGCTAAACTCGGTTTTTATCCTATAATTCTTGAAGTAAAAATAACAATAATGTACGTACTACTAGTTTAATTTAAGATTTTTGTTTTGTATGTCATTTCATTTATATTGTTATTTTTACACCTCATTTATCTAATAGTGGATCAGAATGTCAACGGTTTAATAGATGTATTTGGTACTAAATAACTAAAGAGTGTTCTCGAAATAGTAGGATTTAGCCATTCTAAATAGTTTTCACAGTTAATTTTGCTGTCAGCACTGTCAGCAGAGACAACTTTTCTTAAGAATAAATTGAACCTAATTGTAACATTAAAGTGTATCAAATGAAATTCTCAGAAAGTTGATTATTGACGTGCAATTTCTATAGCGACAATATATTATCTGCTAATACTTTTTGTCATTAGCATATTAGCAAACAAACTACAAGAAACTACCAAGAACGTACTTATTTCAAACAAAATTTTGGACTAATATACATGAAAGTCATGCTACTCTTGGAGTAATTAATATACAGTAGGTCCTCAAATTGTCTTTTTTTATTATTGACATTTTTACAAAAAATGCATTCCTCATAAAATAAACAACAAAACATCCAATATATAGAAGCCTCCCCAAACACAAAATCATAAAAATTTCACTGCAGAAATGCATCATTCTCTTTTTTCTGACTTAATAAATGAAATCTGATGAAAACATGTTCCTGCTTTACGTTCTAATACTTTTCTAAACATAAACACACAGAAAATTTTCTGCGGAAATTCGTAATTTTCATAAAATAGTATTAACTTTAGAATAACTGAAATCAGTTGCATGAAAATATGTTCATGCTTTACATTCTAAACCATTTTATTATGTAGGTATGAACTTAACCTAATAGATACTGTAATTTAGGCAACAATACCGTACTGAGAAAAAACGAAAATAAACAAAAACGAGCCAACAAACCAAACAAAAGCAATCAAAACACGCTGTAAGCTAAAACACCTGTTTACGAATTCCAATTGCCAAGTGCTTTTCAAATCTTGCTATATTTTACAATATGCTATCAAAAATGGTACACTTCCGCAAGAAGTTTTTTGTATGTCTATGTTGAATGAAAAATTTAATTAACGAATTCAAAACAGAAACGTGTTTTCATGTAACTGGTTTCAGCTATTCTAAAGCTGAAAAACTGAAAATTATGTATTTCCGCAGAAATTTATTGTGACATACTATTCAAAAAGGCTTCCAAATACTAAATAAAGAATTATTTCTTGCATAAGTGATTTCATAAAGTAGTTCTACTTTCAACAATTCTAAAGTTGAAAACTGAAAATGATGCATTTCCGCAGAAGATTTTTTGTGACATATTATTGAAAAAGGCTTCCAAATACTAAATAAACAAATTTTTCTAATATAACTGATTTCAGCAAAAAGAAAATAGCCCAGACTTGAGCTATTTTAAAGTTGGATATATATTTCCGCAGAAAAAAATTTTGTGACATATTATTCGAAAAGGCTTCTGTTTGAATATGGACTTTATAATGTTCCGTCTTACGTGCCTGTAGCCACGACCTGTTAGACAGATGTCATTCAGACATATTGTTGTCCTTGTCTATTATCTAAATATAAGTTGATATGTTTTGTTAATTTACTTTCACTTTAATATACGTTTATTAAAATTAGTAAGACCTTCATTTAGTACATAAATATAAACCCCAAAACGTAAAACATGGCGCAGTCGTAAATCGTAAGTCGTAAGTACGTAATTGAAGGCAGTTAAAAGTATTTACAAAAGTATCAAGTCTTTTAAGTATAAAAAAGTCGATCTTGAGTGTAAAGATGGCTACCATGGGCATGGTAAAATTACCGCCAGATTTTTGATCTGCAAGGGCAAAATGCTGCGGGAGAATGGAAGTTTTGGAAGACAGCTTTTGAGGACTATCTAGTTGCGATAGGGCAGGATAAAGCTGCAGGACTGGTAAAATTATCGATTTTGAGAAACATTATTGGCACCGAGTCCGCCAGAATAATGTCGACCTTTGTGATTCCCGAGGATCAGCAGGATAAATATGAATACATGTTGGAACTTATAACTAAATATGTAAACCCAAGGATAAATGAATGTTTTGAAAGATATAATTTCCTTAAACGAGTGCAAAAAGAGGGTGAAACGTTTGAACATTTCTTAACTGAGTGTCGTCATCTGGTCAAGAGCTGTAATTACAATACTATAGATCCAAATCAGACAAGTGAAGACAAGGCTTTGAGAGACAAAATTGTAATTGGAATTAGGGATCCAACGACTAGAGAAGCGTTGCTTAGATTAGATGAGTTAACCCTCGATAAAGCTATAAATTTCTGTAGAACGAGTGAACAGAGCAGAAATCAAAGTATTAAATTCCAAGAAGGCGAAGAAGAGGTAAATTTTATTAAAAAATATAAGAAGCCAGGCGAAAAGAAAAGACAAAAAAGTGAACAGCAAGATGCAAAGGACAAATTCAAATGTAAAAGGTGTCAAAATATGCACGGTCCCAGAGAATGCCCTGCTTATGGAAAAAAGTGTAGGAAGTGCGGATTATTAAACCACTTTGCTATATCGTGTCGCATAAAAAAGGTAAAAAATGTTGAAGAAAAATGTGATACTAGTGAGGAAAATTTATTCGTAGGTAACATAAGTAAAGATATACCCTCGAATAAACCTAATTCTATGTCTAATAAGTATAGAAACCCAACAAATATATGGGAAGAGTTCATACATGTAGAAAACAAAAGATGTAAAGTTAGGTTGGATACAGGGGCAGACGTTAGTGTAATACCATCAACATTATTTAATTGTATAAATAAAAAATTTAAGGTTAGGGACACACATTGTATTTTAAAAGGATTTGAAGGTTCTCAGGTTAAACCCATTGGTATTGTAAATTTATATTGTAAGTATAAAAGTGTAGAAATGTATGAAGACTTTGTCATAGTTGAGGGAGCAAATCAGGTTCTATTAAGCGGTTTAGCTTGCGTAAAATTACAATTGGTGAAAAGAGTAAATAATATTTCAGTTACTGAGAAAGGTTTAAATGATAGGGAAAAATTTATAAATAAGAATTTTGAAATTTTTAGTGGTTATGGTAAGTTTCCTGGTAAATATAACATAACAACAGTAGAAAATTTTGAACCGGTCAGTTACCCCCCTACTAAAGTACCAATTACATTAAGAAATGAACTAAAAAATGAAATACATAGATTAATAAAAAGGAATGCAATTGTAAAGGTAGATGAAATAAATTCAAATGCAAGTATTAACAGAATGGTCATTGTAGAAAAAACAAATGGTAAGTTGAGACTTTGTTTAGACCCTTCTGATTTAAATAGACAAATTGTCAGAAAACCTAAAATAGCATGCAACATAGAAGAGATTTGTGCAAATTTAAATGGAAAAAAGATTTTACTGTTTTTGATTTAGCTGAAGGTTACCACCATTTAGAGTTGACAGAAGAAGCTTCATGGAAATGTTTTGCAACACCATTTGGAATATATAGGTTTACAGTTCTACCTTATGGTTTGTCAAATTCACAAGATTTATTTCAAGATGTAGTTGAAAGAGAGTTTGGTAGCATCAAAAATGTGCAAATTTGTCACGATGATATGATCGTAGCAGGAGCAACAAGAGAAGAGCATGATCAGGCCGTATCAGAGGTTGTGAAAAAAGCCAAGGAGGTAGGTGCAAAATTTAATAAAGAAAAATTGCAATACTGTCAGAGTCAGGTAAAGTTTTGGGGCAAATGTTTTCTGAGTCAGGAATGCAAATAGACCCTGATAGAATTGAATCTTTATGTAAACTAGAAATTCCTAAAAACAAAAATGAATTACAAAGGATTATTGGTTCTTTTAATTATGTAAGACGATATATAAAAAACATGGCAGAATATATGCATCTGTTATGTGAACTTTTAAAAAATAATATAGAATGGCAATGGTTACCAGCACACCAAAAAGCTTTTGATACATTAAAGAAAATCATTTGTAATTCACCAGGCTTAACTCCGTTTGATTATAAAAGGAAAATAATTTTACAATGTGACGCATCTAAAAACGGTTTAGGATGTTGTATGTTTCAACAATATGAAAATAATATAGTTAAATTAGTTAGTTGTGCATCACGTATGATGAATGAACACGAAGTTAATTATAGTCAAACAGAGAAAGAGCTTTTAGCAATTTATTTTGCCACACAAAAATTTCACGATTTTATATATGGAAGAAATTTTGATGTTCAATCAGATCATAAACCTATAGTGTCAATTATGAAAAAACCTATTTGTAAAATTGGTTCAGTTAGATTACAACGTATTAGATTAAAGTTACTAAAATATAACATCAATGTATATTATGTACCAGGTAAAAGCATTCATTTTGCTGATATGCTTTCGCGATCTAGTTTAAAGTCAACAGGTAAGATTGATAATGAAATGTTCGAAATGGTCCATTCAGTTTCAAAGCATATTCCTATGAGTAACGAGAAACGAGACGAATTTAGAATAGAAACGTGTAAAGATAAAACTTTAATGAAATTATATGATTATTATTACAATGGATGGCCAAAAACAAGTTCCATTCCACCTGATTGTTTACCATACGTACAATCAAAAAATTCTATCTATATAGAGAGTGGTATCATTTTCTTAAACGATAAAGTAATCGTTCCTACTAGTCTGCGTGTAAAGATGTGTGAACTGTTACATAAGGGACACATTGGAACTAGTAAAACAATTCATAAAGCGAGATTATTATTTTATTGGCCAAATCTGTCTGATGATATAATTAACTATATAAAAAAATGTCGTGTTTGTGAAAAATATAGACCTGCAAATTATAGAGAACCACTTTTACCACATACTGTTCCTAAACTTCGTTTTAACAAAATAGGAGCTGATATTTTAGAATTTGGTTGTAAATCATACTTAGTTGTAATTGATCATTTCTCTCATTGGATAGAGTGTATTTTGCTAAAAGATAAAACAGCAGAGTCAGTTATAAATGCATTTCAAGAAATATTTATAAGATTTGGTTATCCAACGTATATCATTGCTGATAATTTACCTTTTATTTCAAGTCGTTTAAAAAAGTATTATCGAGCAAAAGACATTACAATAAAAACATGTTCTCCACATTATCATCAAAGTAATGGTCTAGCCGAGAAAGCAGTTAATATATGCAAACAAATGATAAAGAAAAGTTTAGATGAAAATTCCGACTTTAGAGAATCTGTTATGGAATATAACAATTCACCTATTATTAACTTAAACGCGTCTCCAGCTCAAATACTGCAGAGCAGAATCTTAAAATCACAACTACCTTTAAGTGATGCAAAATTGCAACCGAGAATTCAAAATAATATTTATAAACAGCTTTGTAAACAAAAAGATAAAGTTAAAATCCAATATGACAAAATGGTTCGCAGATATCCTTTTGAGTATAAAAAGGGAGATAAAGTAGTAATCAGAAGCAACATAGATAAAATCTGGTATAAAGCTACAATTCTGGAGAAAGCTAATGAACCAAGATCTTACTGGGTACGAAAGGAGGATAACAACCGGATTGTTAGGCGTAATACTTCTCAGATTAAATTGTCATTTACAGAACCAGAGAAAAAAGTCCTTACAGAACCTGAGTTGTTTCCTGAACTATTGTCAATTCCAAATATGTCATCAAACCCAATTATGTCTTTAAACCCAAATGTGTCAGTTGAACAAAATGAAAATGTTAATGTAGATTTAAGGAACAAAGTTATTAAGTCGCGTTCGGGTCGTAATATTAAACCCCCTAGGAAGCTCGACCTTTGAGGGGAAGGTGTTTGAATATGGACTTTATAATGTTCCGTCTTACGTGCCTGTAGCCACGACCTGTTAGACAGATGTCATTCAGACATATTGTTGTCCTTGTCTATTATCTAAATATAAGTTGATATGTTTTGTTAATTTACTTTCACTTTAATATACGTTTATTAAAATTAGTAAGACCTTCATTTAGTACATAAATATAAACCCCAAAACGTAAAACATGGCGCAGTCGTAAATCGTAAGTCGTAAGTACGTAATTGAAGGCAGTTAAAAGTATTTACAAAAGTATCAAGTCTTTTAAGTATAAAAAAAGTCGATCTTGAGTGTAAAAGATGGCTACCATGGGCATGGTAAAATTACCGCCAGATTTTGATCTGCAAGGGCAAAATGCTGCGGGAGAATGGAAGTTTTGGAAGACAGCTTTTGAGGACTATCTAGTTGCGATAGGGCAGGATAAAGCTGCAGGACTGGTAAAATTATCGATTTTGAGAAACATTATTGGCACCGAGTCCGTAACGGCACGTAAAACAGCTTCCAAATAATAAATAAATAAATATCTTACATAACTGATTTCAGCTAAACGTTGCTTGTTCTAAACTAGTTAATCCCGTATATACTTTTCCTAATTTGCATACCGTTTTAGAGATAATTAAAAAAAAACATGAAAATATATTTTAATTTTTTCCTAAAGTCCTAAAAATCCAAATATAGTAATATAATTTCGTTTTCATTCTTTGATAGAATTTTAATTAACGTCATATTTTTGGCAGTTTTAAAATCTTAAAGAAGCACGCATGTAGTTCAATGATACTTTATTAACGGTAAAAATACGACGTTAATCAAAATTAATAATAAACATCTATTAGAGTGAAATCGAAATCATATTACCATAGCCTTTTGATTTTTAGAACTTTTGGAAAAAGTCAACCATATTTTCATGTTTTTTTAATTTCCTCTAAAGTGGTATGGAAATTTGGAAAAGCATAAACGGGATTAACCATTTTAGAATGAGCAAACATTTTTATGAAGAATGTATTTTTCTCAAAATGTCAACAATAAAAAAGTTTTTCCGCTTGTAAACACAATCCAGGGACATACTGTATAACTAAGATCATTTCATATAAATTCCTATTTCCTTTGAAAATGTTACTTACTTTACCATCACCACATCTGGCTCCATCTGGCGTCAGTCCTGGATCAATTTGGTTAGTACCGAGATCGACAATAGCAGTTCTGCAAGGTACGATCGAACCTTTTTTATTAATAAAACTGTGGGATAAAATGGCAACAGATTCCATGCCAAATTCCAGTCGTTCGTTTAAATGCTTACAGTGTAACATACCACATAAAACACTCCTACAACAAATTACATTTTAATTGGAAAAATATTCTTCATTAAATAATTGTCTACTAAGAAAAGAGACGATTTTATGATTACTTACTCTGACTCACACTTAAAAAAGGATTGATTGAATTTATTAAAGCCGCAATTTCCATGCCTATTCCCTTTAATATTCATATCATAACACTGATCATCACTCGAAGTTCCTGTTTCACCCCAAAGCAATTGGCATTGGTCAGTCCTAAAATGTTTAAAGAATAAATAGAATTATGACTTAAGGAATAAATAGTGATTATGATACCACAGAACTATTATGCCGGGTCCAGACCAAGACGACAAAAAGTAAGCACGATTGAGAGACAAAGACAAGACAAACTTGCGACAAAAAATGGGGAATTTTGACAAGACAAACTTAAGACAAATTGTCCACACTGCAAGGACAAAAGTCCAACAAAGTTAAAAGTTTAGTTGTTGCGAATGAGTTTTATTAACCATGTGTGATTTCACTGGTCTCTTACTGTTGGCAGCACACGCCATCCACAGTGCGCTGACAACTTGTCGTAAAATATACGAACAAAACATAGACACTTTGATCTTTACCGACTCGAGACGGGACATTGAAAAGTCTCCGAATTTTGAAACAAAACAAAAATGAGACAAAAATGTCGCAGAAATGTACTGGATTTGTCGCAATTTTGTCGTAAAACATGAATGTTTCTGTCTTGTCGTTGTTTTGTCTGTTTGGTCTGGACTCGGCATAACAATAATAAAAATATCACTTTTCACCAGGGTTGGAAAAAATCATGATTTTTTTTTAAAAATCAAAAAAATCAGAATTTTTTTGATTTAAATCAGATTTTTTTGATTTTAATTCAAAACAATATTTAAATCGGATTTCCAAATGACTAGGACTTATTTCCAATTATTTCCACTTATCCTAAATGGCTAAATCTATACCCCGATACCCCCCGATAACATTAACAATTCTACGGGGTGTGTGATTTTTCCACATCGGTCATCAATATATTCCGCAAAAAAAGTCGTTCGCTTCAGATCAAAAGGATTTTTTTCAAACGTCTCAAAAGTATTAATTTTTGTCATTAGGCATAAAATTAAAGCACTGTTAGGCCTAAGCACAAAAGTACAAAAATATATTATTAAACTAATAATTGTAAGTGCCTAATTCAACGAGTGTACAAATTGTTGCTCGATTACTGTTTATATTATTTGCAGTGTTTGAAACTGATTAAAAAATTATTTGTAATGTTTAAAAAAATAGTATGTTCTATTCAGAGTAAAAATGAACTTTTTGTGGCTCCCTGTAACGTCGAAATAGCTTTACGATGGTTCTTCAAAGATACAGCATCGTCAAAAAATAAAGTATAATTTTTACTCCTAATAAAACAATACAATATTGTTCGGAAATAGTCTTAAGTCGAGAATGAAATGAGTATGTATTATCTAATGTCAAAGTGTAAAGTACTTACTGCAGATCAAAATGTCGATGTCGGTAAGAATTTGGAAACATACAACCCATTTAAAAAAATATATATAAAACAACATATTTTCTGACAACGATTATAGATTCTCGGGAATGAAGATATAGTCTCTATATTAGAAGAACTTAGTTCTGCACTAGAGTTTGCGAATGATATGTATTAGAACAGCGAATTTTTGTCACTTATACATAAATTTTAAAATAAATCTCCCTGCGTTTAGCGGTCTAATGGATTCACACGAAATTAGTTCAAAAACAATTAGATTGATGAATAGATATTTTTATATAGTTTTATAACATTTACAATTTTTTTTAGCGATTTACTATTTGTTATATATGTTATAGAAATATTTTTTATAGGTTTCTAGGACACATTTTTATGACTTTTACAGTTGTTTTTTGATTTATAATAAAGTTTCAATAAAATTAATTTTTTTGATTTAAATCACATGATTAAAATTAAAAAAATCACTTGATTTAAATCACGATTTAAATCATGATTTAAATCATTTGATTTAAATCATGCCAACCCTGCTTTTCATCATGCCAACCCTGCCTTTTATAAAAAGACTTAAATATTTTTTATGACATAAGTCTTTTCTAAAGGCTTAATTTTTTTTCTATTTCGGAATAAAGATTCTATTTCAGAATCAAAATTATTTGTGATTTAAACAAATAATTTTGAAAAAGACTTAATTTTTTAAGGTCTTAAGTCAGCTTTCAAAAAATGACTTAAAATCACATCATTTAGTCATTAAAATGATTTAAATCAGGAAAAACTTAAGTTTTCTGTGAGCTTGCAGCTCTGTGTATGACAATATACATACGACCTTGTCGTTTTCTATTGTAAATCTGATTTTAAAGGTTCTCTATTCATAATTTATGTCTAATCCCATATGTTACTCAATTACCTTGTCCTGCAGAAACCATGGTAACAAAAGGCGTGTCCTCCGTCGCACTCTTCTGTATCTAATTTATAAATATCATCAGGACAATACTCAGACTGCCCTGTACAATATTCAGGTAAATCACATTCATAATCCGCCGAACGGCATAAAGTTCCAGCGTTTTTAGGTTTACAAGTCTAAAAAATATTAATTTTGTTAAAAAATATTTCTTACAAATAGCCTTTGTGTAAAGGTAGCATTTTTATTTCGAAAAAAAATGGGTAATGAAAGTTCTGGATATGTTTTTAATATGCAATTTTGTGTGCATAAAATTGCGAGAATTAGTCTGTCCATCCGTAAAAAAAATCTTAAACCTTGAGGGATCCCTTCAAATTTTCTGGTTAACCATACCATACCGCCATTACTCGCTGACGAGTATTTGACACGCATCAGAAGATGGTCACGCAAGGCGTTTCCCTTCATGAGCTGTGACTGAAAAGCCCAATACGTGATGTCTCATCTGTCTACCGCACTCCGGACATTCAAAAATCTCATTGCTTTGTTGCCTCTTTACTTTTTGGTTGTCGCTCTTAAATGACTTTACAATTCTTCTCCATTCCGTTCTATTGTGAGCTGCCTCCTCCTACCCATTCTGCTTGTTAATTCCCTTTAAGTTTTCGTGGAAAATATCCTTGAACCTTTTGAGTTGTCCACCCGACCTCCTCTTACCGTCTACAAGCTCACCGTAAAGCAGAGATTTTGGTATGCGGTTTTCTTGCATTCTGCATACGTGACCAGCCCATCTTATGCGGGACTTTGTAATCATGACTTCAATACTCTCGCAGTTAGCTTTTTCAAGAACCGATACGTTTGAGACATGATGAAACCATTTTATTCTTAAGAGTTGTCTAAGATGTCTCTGTTGCAACTTGTTTAATGCGTTCATGTGTCGACGGTACGGCACCCAGGTTTCGCTTCCATATAACATGGTGGGAATTATTATCGTTCGGTACACCGCAAGTTTCTTTTTTGTGCTCAAGTCATGATTGTAGAAAACCCTGTCTTTTAATTTCCAGAATGCTCGTGAGGCGCTGCTAATCCTGTGCTGAATTTCAGAGTCGATATTGGCCTTTTCCGAAATCAAACTGCCGAGGTAATTGAATTCCGCTACATATTCCAACGTTAACCACAGGCTAATCCACCATTTTCTTTTTCTACTTAAAGATAATAACAGTGGCGTGCAGTGCAAATCAAAGCATACCATATTTTCATGTTTTTTTAATTGTTTCTAAAATGGTGTGGAAATTTGGAAAAGTATAAACGGGATTGTCCATTTTAGAACAAGCAAAAATTTTGATGGAGAATGTATTTTTCTCAAAATGACAATAAAAAAATTCCTCCTGTAAAGACAATCCATACTGTACATTCACGAATACGTAGAATTATAGAAAAATTATTGATATACATTCTTAAATTAAGGAGGGAATTTAAAAATCTCTTAATTATTGCCAACATGTAAAATCACAAATAATCAGAAATCTTACTAATCTGGCTAAGATGCAGAAAATTTGGTAAAAAATGCAGCATCAAAATTGCAGAAGTGGAAACCACCCATTAGGAGTTGTATTCAAGACTCTAATCAGAACTATGTTTTTAAAAACGATTATTTTTTAATAAGTTCATTTTGTGTGTTTAGATAATAAAACTTTAATGATAGTTAAAGTTAATATAACTAACTTAACTATAAAACTAAAGAACTCTCGAAATCTATTCAGACTTCCCAATATTCAATTAGTTATCCAAAAAATGCTATCTTCACATAAGCATATTATAAATGTCACAACTTACAGTTAAGTCACAGCACTCGCCAGTAGCACAACTGGCATTATTATACAGCATACAAGTGGATGCGTTACAGCATGGATTGTCGCAATGCTCGGGCAACCCGCAATCACACTGTTCCCCTTGCTCTACAAATCCATTTCCACAAACCGGACTGTCGAAAAGGGATTCTGGTTTGTTTTTTAGGCAATAATCCATTCCATGGGTAAAGGCTAACAATAAGTAGTTCAGACTGCATGAAGACCAATGGGTTGGTGCAACAGTTGAACTGCTTGGTGCCATAATACATCTTTCTTCTGGACATTTGCATACAGTCGTGTCATGCTCCATACCTGAAGTATATTCATTATTAAATTTAAATTGCGTATAAAAACAAATGTATTTATTTTTAAATATATTCATGGCGTTGCTCATCGTACAATTTCACGAATTCATCTTTTTTGTTTACTAATAAAAACAATATACAGGGTTGACCGAATTGCATTCGGGAAACTTCAGCAGCATATTATACAGATAAAAATAAGTAAAAAAGTTCCTATAAATGTATGGCTTAAAATACAAGGAGTAGAAATTTCATTTTTTTATTATTTATTTATTATTATTATATTATATTTTATTATTTATTATTATTATTTATTTAATATATATTATTATTATATTTATATATTTTTTTTTATTTTACTTATTTCCTTTTTTTTCAAATAATTTCGATACAACTAACGTCGATATTTAGATAAAATTTGGTGTTTGAGTGCTTTTTGACATGAGGGATATGGGATGGAAATATGACTTCGATGTCAATATGACTTCTATTTGTAGGGGACATATTTTTAAGTGTTTGGAAGAGTAACAATTTTTCATCTGTAGATACCTGTATTACAAAAAAAAAAACTACTGAGTAAAAAATATACATTTCCGCCGTTTTTACGTAAAAATGCCTTTTTAAACATTTTATAGCTTCATATTTTCTTACACCAATTTGATCAAAAGCAAAAATGGATTCAAGCAGTTTGATGAAACAAAGTGCTCGTTACATAATCAAAAAATGAAATAGACATATACTATGAGAGGATAAAATATAATTTGCAATATTAATGGCATACTTTTTTTAATTAACTAGTGATTAAATGTTTTGTGAATACCTTCTAAAATTATAATTATGTATCTTTCGGAACTCGTTTAAAAAGTTTTTTTAGCTGGAATAATAAATTATACCTAATACAAGTTAGACCTGAAGATATCATATTATTTTTTATTTATATTATTAAAATTTTCACAAATTATACTTCCTAACACTTTTAGAATAATTATATAATAAATGTTTCGTATACTCGCTATTTAAACCCGTATATTTGTATATACTAGTTGTTTACGATATTCTCCGATGGTGGCAGCACCGGCGCATAATGCACCAAGCCTATACAGGTACAGATGAAAAGTTATTACTCATTAAAACAGTTAAAAATATGAAGATAACGCCCCCGACAAGTAGGAGTCATATTGGCATTGAAATTAGATTTCTCATGTCAAAAAATACTCAGACACAATTTTCATAATGATATCGATGTTAATTCAGAAATTGATTAAAAAATGGAAATAAAAATAAAATTTGCTACACTGTATCTACGAAACGAAGCATTTTGGAACATAAATTTATACGAATTTTACTACTTCATTTTATTTGCAGAATATGCCTCCGAGGTTTCCCGAATACAATTCGAACCATCCTGTATAAATCATATGTCACCAAATGCATCAATAAGAACGTTAGTTGAAATATAAATTAATTTACACAAATTAGCGTTAAATAAGTGACTCAACAATGAATCAGTTTTTAAAGAAAATATTGTTTTCATTTCAATTAACAAGGCATTGAATAACAATTGGCAACGTCATTAGACTTACCAAAGTTATGTCCCATCTCGTGAGCAATTGTGGTGGCTACTAAACCTACTACAGGCGAGTGATCAGTATTCACTCCACCTGAGTACTCGTAAGTACACATTGGTCCCTTTAGTGCTTTTCCAACAACACCATGGTCAAAGTTAAATTTCCTATAAAAATGTCAACCATGTTATTAAATTCTTATATTAGATTCTAATACATCCTAAGCAATAGAAAATAATAATATTTATGGTCAATGGAGATAGCAGATAGCCCAGATGAACAATAATACCTACTATAGATTCTGTTTATTTTGTCATGATCAAAATTAATAATAACTAATAAAAATTGATAATAATTTATAAAATAAAAAATACAGGGGTTTGACATTGGTTTTATTATTTACATTGTATATTACAAAATGTCTTATATGAAGAACATGTATTGCTTTTCACTTATATCTTTTATTCAAGGTCTATTATATTTTCTTGTTTTGACATTTTAAATCCTGCTAATCATACAAAATAAATTTTAGTAAGGACATAGTTGCGATATTTGTGTATTCCTATTTTAAATATGACAAGAACTTTTATTGTTTTATCTTTTTAATATAATGTCTATTTTTAATGTAATTTCTATATTTCTCTTTTTTTACGTTCAACTAGTTTTTAAATTAATTATCATTTATTCTATCCACAAGATTTGATTTAATTTATAAAATACAAACCACAGTTTTGGTAGAATTGACAGTTTGATGATGAGATACCCAGTTTGTCACTATCATATAGCAACATTATTTTTTCAATAGGCTCCTATACACCAGAAGGATTTGTCCTGCGGATTAGATCTGCGGATTTGGACTGTCGATTAAATCGATTTGCCCGATAAAATATTCTCGTTTGGGATAAAATTTGACGTTTTATAGCAGTTTTATAAAGGATGGTCCGAACTGTATTCCGGAAACTTCGGCAGCATATTCTGCAGATAAAAATAAGTAAAACAGTCCGTATAAATATATGTACTAAGATGCTTAGTTTCGGAGATACAGGGTGTAGAAGTTTCATTTTTATTTCAATTTTTTCCAAATAAGTTCTGAAGTAACGTCAATATATGGATAAAAATTGGTGTCTGGCAGTTTTTTGACATGAGAATTTTCATTTTGATATCAATATGACTCCTATTTGTAATGGCAGATATTGACAATTTCAGTTCAAAATATCTCAAGTCTCGAGAACCATTACTCGTAGCGATTTTTACCGAGAGACCTTTTTACGTAAAAAATGTTGTAAATGTATATTTTATTACTCTAAATTATTTACTCTAAATGTACTATTTTATTACATAGTTGTATACAGGTACGGACGAAAAGTTATTACTCTACAAACCAAAATAAAAATAAAAACACTAAATCACCACAATACACCAAAACACTTTTACTTTTACACTGGACGCGCGTTTCGCTAACCACGTTAGCATCATCAGCAGATAATTATAAACTGAGTAAGAAACGGACTAAAACAGTTTATAATCATCTGCTGATGATGCTAGCATGGTTAGCGAAACGCGCGTCCAGTGTAAAAGTAAAAGTGTTTTGGTGTATTGTGGTGATTTAGTGTTTTTATTTTGCTGTGTAACACCAAAGGTTCCAACCCTCAACTGTAATCTCTACAAACCAGTTAAAACATATGTAGATGGCGCCCTCTACAAGTGGGTGTCATATTGACATCAAAATCAAATGTCTCATGTCAAAAAACTCCAGATACCAATTTTCATCCAAATAATGACGTTACTACATAAATTATTTGGAAAAAATCAGAATAAAAATGAAATTTCTACAATTTATATACATTGGCGTAACTACAGGGGGGCCCGTGGGTGCCGCCCCCCAGGTACCACTGGGCACGCCCCAGAGAAATCCTGAATTATGACTCTTGGTTACGTATTACTTTTTATTTGCTTGTGATGTCGTAAAAATGACGTTTTCTAGTTTTGTTTAGTTAATATTATTTTGTTGTGTTCAAAAAATGAGGTAATTTTTATTTTTTTAGAAAATTTATAGGTATTTAAGTAATCTACAGGAACACGGTTTGATAACAAAGTTTATGAAATTTATTGATAGAGAAATTCATGTAAACGTTTTATGCAAAAAATGTGTGTAAAATTATTTTTCATTTTTAAAAAAACAAAAGCCCTAGGACCCCCTGGGCTCAACACCAAGCTCCCACCAGGCCCACCCCAGGATACATTGCTAGTTACGCTAATGCTTATATCTCCGAAACTAAGCATTTTAGGACATACATTTATACGAACTTTTAGACTTATTTTTATCTGCAGAATATGCTGCCGAAGTTTCCGAAATACAGTTCGGACCACCCTGTATAGATAAATGTTTATCGGAATAATAGAATAAACTGCCGCTTAAAAAAAAGAGCGTTACAAGTCCGCCAATTTTATCCTTCTTTCATTTTTTAGGCCAATCTAATCTGACAGATCACGCCTGCAGATTTGAAGGCTTGACCTGCCACATAAATACAAAGCTTTTATCCGCAGACTATGCCCGCAGGCCAGATCTTCTAGTATATGGGGGGCTAATAGATATATTCCATGCAGAAATAATAATCACATCTATAGTAGTTTTTTATAATTTATATTAAAACTTACGTCAATAGTTGAGCATTGTCATTGGGGTGATCAGGGAGCAATTTTTGCTTTCTATAATGTAAAAAACTAGTGAGCGTTGAATCACCATCTGGAGAAAAGATCATTTCGTCATGTTCAGTCCATATCACAACTCCTACTAGAGCTATAAAAATATTTAAGGGAGAATAGAGCTGAAAAAAATATATTTAAGTTAATATTTTAGAATTCAGCAGCAATACTACACACTTACTCCATTGATAATATTGGCAATACTTTTACAATGGTTGATAACTCTGCTTCTACTTTCTCCCAGTTCTTTGTATTCTCTATTGTCTACAACTAAAACTAGTTCCACATATTTTGATTCTTTATTGGCATTGTAAGGTCCCCTAATTAAATCGTGACTTTCCGTCGATCTTTTGTACTGAAAACATAAAAATTACTCTTTAAAAAAATGATGACAAACAATTGATTATAAAAAAAGAAAAAAATCCAAATTTTCAATTTTTTTTCGCGAAAAAAAACTAATAATCGTGATTCTGGGGTCGAAATATACTACCCCGAAAAATATTTGCACTTATTTAAGACCTCACCCTGTATGCCATATCGGCAAAAGAGAGTACTGGGCCCGTATTTATCATAGGAGTGAATCACATTGGTGATTTTTAAGTCGCAGAGAGAAAAATGCGAAGTGTTTATTATACAGGGTGGCGCACCTCATTCGCCTCGGTTGATTATACGAAACCGGAAACAACCTGTTGACAAACTTTTTTTTATAGCATGCATATTTAGATATCTTTATATATCTCAAAAACCAAAGCTTTTAAACATATTAAACCCTTATAATAAATGCCCTATTTTATGTCTAAGAATCCAAAAATGAAATAAAATACTAGGTGTTCCATTAGAAAAAATATAACTTTGGTATGGATCTTTGTTCTGACACACCCTGTACATTTCAAAATAATTTGAAATTGTGCAGATTGCCTTCCCACATATAGCCATAAAATATTTTGTTTCTACATCTTTCCGTTTTGGTATAATCAACCGAGGCGAATGAGGTGCGCCACCCTGTATAAGTCATTGCATACGTTTGGAAAATACTTATTCTTCTTTCTTTATTCAGTATAACTTATTGTACTGAGCGTATTCGCTGTACTTTTCTTATACACGGCACCCAAAGCCAGACCTTGCCCACGCTGTATACAACATGGGTTACAATGTTTACTGAATCAAATAAAAACAAAGTGAAGCTTTCAGCACAAAGCTCCAATATTTGAAGATCTAATATTTTTATACTGTAGTCCCGTGTGAGACCCAGGTAAAATACAAAAATACCTTAAACATTATCTACTAGAGATGAGCAAAACTGCGATTCTCCCATCGCAATTGAAACTGCTATTGCGATTTTTAAATCGCTGCGACTGTAACCTGCGATTGCGATTTTAATATTTAAATATTGTACCAGGCATTTTATTCAGTGTCATTTTCTATCGAATAAAGTAAAAAAATACCGAGAGTGCACATTTAAAAATCAAAAGTTGTAGTAATTTCCGGTGAAAAAGAAAGTAATCGAAATAAATTGAATACGTCAATCAATCCTAATTTATGTCATATGCTTACATACTAAATCTCGTTTTTTATCAGAAAAAAATTAAAAAGTTATAGAGGTGAACCACTCTTGAGAAACATCAGGTATATTATTTGATCTTGGTCCTAGAAAATAATACCACAGATTATACAGATTATAAACTTTGTTTTTTCTTTATTGTTTTTCGTGGTTCCAATTTTCGGAATCGGGCACTAGTTAGGTTACTAGTTTGCGCACATAGCACGCACAGTTATTAGAGAGAGTTAGTTCCGGCACAGTTATTAGAGAGATATCGGAAAACCGAATAGCGTCATGCAGTATTTACGCGTACCTTATCATAGTTGCGATATGCGCGAGTCAATTTTTAACGCAACACCCGCTAATAACGTTACCGCCTGACGTAATTTGTGGATCCATTACACCAAGCGCTATTTCTAAATAACGTTTAAAAATTGCTTAAATGGGCATGTGCGGGTATTTGACAACCGGGGCCGGCCGGCGAGATTATGTTTGAATTGTTTTGAATTATTACTTTAGTTTTATTAGGATATTTGACATATAATGTAAAACTTGGAAAAACAGTTTGTTATAATAATGCTTTTATTTATTCACTATTCTAATAAAGAATATGCATTCCTTCGGAAACTCTCTATTTATTTATCTAGTAATGCTAAAACACTCTATTTGAAAGTCGATTAGAGAAAATAGTATGATTCATTGGCAAGCGATGTAAATATTTGTGATCAGGTAAAATTGTGATGTAAGAGAAGGCTTAGCTTGTCGGCGGCAGGTCAGTAGTAGACGGGCCGGCCGGCTGTTGTGTTGTGTTTTGTCATAGAGCTGACATTTGGGGGTTGCGAGTCTTTTGACTATAAACGTTGCATGTACTGTAAGGCAACGAAGAAAACCTCTTATGACGTCTTGCCTTCGAGGTTGGTCTTGAGGTCTCTCTTGTCTTCTCGATTGACACGATGCGGCGTTGGGGTAGTGAGGTACCCCAATTAGCCTATTCGATTGGGATGCCAGTCTGTTTAGCGGCAGATTTGCGTCCGGGGGAAGTCCCTATACTATTTCAGGTGACACTAGCTAGTTGTTGAAGATTATTAACCAATAGATCAATAGATCCGAATAATATTTGAATTAGATAGAAGATATGGAACGGGATACATTGAAGAGAATGCCAGTGGCTAGGGGGCAGAGTACTCCCGGGTGAGTCTTACTATTTAACTATCAATTTTATCCAGATAGTAAATGTTTGTTTTGTTATTTTCATGTACAATGAGAGAGTGCTTGCCGGTGACCAACTAAATGGATATTTGAGGTGAATTTGCATTGTGAGGTCCGGTTGAGTAAGCCACAGATATAAGCGATTTTACAATAACTAGCTGGGATTAGTTTTAATTAAATAAATATGGCCCAAAATATGGATTCCACCTCTTCCAATATTAAAGAACCTATAAAGAGGCTTAGGTTTACAGCAGATGACGACTTAGCCCTTCTAAGAGAATTTGTTGATTGTTGCCCTAAACCCACTGGCAGACGTTGAACAATAAAGCACTGGAAATAAGCACTTTAGCCCTTTAGTTTTAAAATACCTAGTAAACAAAATAATTTCAAAGTTAGGTTAAGTTTAAATGGCGGACGTGACGCGAACAGAATTCTTTCCGATCCGATAACTATAAATGAAGAGAGTTAATACCACCTCACGTAAAGGAAATAACACCTGGCCGTATTAACGTCCATGCACGCTATTCGGTTTAGCGATATCTCTCTATTACGCTGTTTATTGTTATTTCACGCGAGTTTATTTTTGCGCACAGGAAATTTTACTCGTTTGCACATCGTCATAAAAAACAATTTTCGTACCACGAATTAGGGACAAGATTTTTATCTGTATACTTATAGGATACCTAATCTGTGATAATACCTTCTCTATAAATAAATAAAATCAGAGAAAAAATTCAATCGCAGTTTTCTACAAAATGCTTCAAGGAACCACAAAATTACATTCGCAACAAAATCGTAAATCGCAACTATAGTAATATTGGTTGCCTAAATTGAAAAAAAACTCGCAAATAGAAAAAATCGCAGTCGCGGTTTCCTAAGAGAGCCAATCGCAGGTTGCGATTGCAATTTTAAAATCACTGCGATTCAATCGTAGTTTGCGATTTGTTGCTCATCTCTATTATCTACCAATTTAAGTTTTTCTTTTAGGTATTAGTGCAACTAAACTTTCCTCATTTAATTATAATCATTAAAACTAAACAGTTTTAAATCTTCTTCGTGTAAGTAGTTAAAGTGGATTGCAATCATATAAATATATCAAGGATTCTTCCCACGAGTTCATTATTATTAAACAGGATGGGTCGACCTATTTAGCATAGTAACATGGTTAGTAGACCATGGAGGAAGGTGTTAAAGAGCACGGTTGCATTATTTATTTTTAATTCCAAAACAAAAGTAAGTTTATTTTTAATTCCAAAACAAAAGTAATATTTTATAATTATTATTAATTATAATTATCACCTTAATTTAAAAAAAATATAATATAAAATACTAGTAATAATATTGGATGCGGTATTTCCAAAATTTTAGTACCTTTCTAGTTATACTATAAAATACATAGAAATTTGATATTTATAAATAAAATGCCGTATGCAATATACATATTTGCAAATTTGAACTTAATTTTCTGATACTTCCATATATCATAATATGAAAGAATTTATGCTAAGGATGCAAATATGTACTTGGTGTATCACTTTAAATTAAAAGAAAATATAGAACACATTGGCTAGTTAAGAAATATAAAATATACTCTGTGTTTTTTTTCTCAGGTAAGATTTTGACAGACGATGACAGAAGAAAAGCAGATGACGTCCCATACCAATCTATTTATTTTACTAAAAAAAGTTTCTAATAATGTTTAAGTTAACTATGGATGGGTTTAAATATAAATCCGTCATGCGTCGTCTCTTGTTTTTTTAACCAGTTTTATTGGTTTATTTCAAAAATGACAGTTCGTATTTCAATTTTATTTTTTTTGACGGAACGATGAACGACAAACGGACGCCGATGCGTATGAACTCGCCTTTAGATTTTTGACGCTTGTCAAAGTCTTGCCAAATTCTAGGTTATAATTTTTTGTCAACTTTTGTCAAATACCCTGCGTTTTGGAAGATAATGCATTTTGATTCGTGTTATTACATGTGTTTTGTGTCTTTTAAAGTCAAGTGGAGGAAAAATCGAGTGAAAATTAACTGTAGACCCAGAGCACAGTTTATGGTTAATACTAGCTGCCCAGGCAGAAAGTCTTATACACCAATAAAGTTACCATCAATAAAGTTCGTATACCATCTCGTCGTAGATAAGTGCATCTCGAATATGGTAGAAGGACCATACTAAACACATACTAAAAACTGGAGTAGCTGTAAAATATCGACATCACACGATAGGTAATTACTGGATTTTAGTACCTACTGCAGAAAAATAATGTCAAAAGGTACTGGTTTAAAAAAAATTAAGATTAAAGTTAATTAATCAACCTTTAAGGTATACAATTTGGTAAGTGTTATTATTAATAAAATAGTTTGTTTTATTTATGTTGTTTTATTTATTCCTACGGAATATTACAAATTTGTATTTGTACATAAGTTATATTGATAAATATAATCATAAATGCGGGAAGTTTCATAAAGCTTGAAAGTAAGAAATAGTTCTTCTTATATTTTTTTGATATGTGGTGTCTTGTTCTTGTTTGTTTTGTATTAACACATACCGTTTTTTATTAAATAAAATAACTCGATAACATTTTTTCAGTTTTATATAGTTTT